ACAAAGTTCTTCTGTCTGTTGCCATTCTGATAAAACAAAAACTACTCTTCATTAACTTAAATGTATACGCATTTCTGCTATAAGATTTAAACACATGAGACAGCTAATATTATTCCACAAAAACAGGAGGGTACAGTATTTTCCTAACTATCAGTACTTTTTAAAAAAAGGTTAACATTATAAACAAAACAAAAAACCAAAAAACAAAGAAAACTCAAAAAACCATTATTTTCTTTGAAATCATTAAGCTTCTTGAACATCTCAAGCCTCCTTCTTCTGTCTGCGCTCTTCTGCTAATTTATTCAGAAATTTCTGAAAAGTGAAAAAGAAGAAAGCACAAAAAAGCATTACAGCGATTAAGTCACCTAAGAGAAACATGACAAATGGATGCTAGGGACTATTTCCAAATACACAGTGTGCCCAAGTTTATGGACTTGATTGCAGTCTATAATATATAACCTTATCAAAAATACTTTCAAGAATGATTCGTTAGTGTACACAACTAAACTGGTTCAGAAGAGACACTTCATAAAGCATAAAAAATGATGAAAAAATGAACACCTGATTGTTTCAACATACTATGAATCCTGATTTTTAGGGCCATAGTCATACAGAAAGAACTACTATATTCTTTTAGAAACATATTAAAATGACATCATTCAGAACTTTATCCATTAAACTAGGGGCTGTCAAACATTTTAAAAGGAAATAGAAAATATCTGGCGGCCACTTGGTCTCTGTTGCAATTCAATTCTGCTATAGCACTAAAGCAGTCACAGACAATACATAAATAAGCAACGGTGACTGTGTTTCAATTAAACTATTTACAAAATCAGGCAGCTGGACCACAATGTATAGCATGCTGACTCGTGTTAGACTTGTCTGTGGCTTACAATCTACAGTTCTCTAGGCATAAGACGACATTCTGTAAGACATTAATGAAATGAGAGATGTATTTTTGAAATCTAATCTAAAACATTAGTAATCTTTTTTTAAAAAAACCCTTCTGGTTGGAACTAATCATATTCACTATATATTAAAAATATTTTTTTCAGTCCCCCACTACTACAAATTTATGTAGTTGAGTTTCCCACATTTGGGGAAATCAGAGGGGTCAGCACAGCCAAAGTGCAATTGGTGAGTTTAGCTCTGTGAAAATTACCTTCAATATCATGCTATCTCACCTGCCAGGTAAGTATATCCATAATATATTTTTAAAAGAAAAGACAAATTTAAAGACTGTGCCACAAAGTTTGGTTTGGCCCTTTAAATAACACAAGTTATCCAAAAAACAAAGGGGGCTTTGTGTTTCCCAACTAGCAGGGCTACCAAGTCCCAACACCTGGCATACCAACTTCAAGAGGGAGAGGGCATGTATTCACGAAGTATGTTTTCACTGAAGTCCCCATGAGTATAGGAAACTTGGGGCCTAGGAGTGCTATTTTTGGGTCATCTCTTATGACATTATCATGCATGAGGGACAGGTAGAGCCTTCCCTGGAGAGTCTCAGATCTGTCAAAGAGCTGTAATGCGCATGAGTAGATAAGAGGCTGGTGTTTGCATATTTCACAGAGACCCAAAACCTACTCTGGACATTGGGCTTAGAATAAGTACCTCGAGGGTGGCTAGTGATGTCAGAATGATGAAGCAGGAAAATGGGGAGATAAATTAACAATTTGGAAATAAACCCTATAATGGCTATTACTAAGATATTATTAATAACAATATATAATTAATTCCAGAATGATAGTTTAAAAAATCCTTCAAAATAAATCAAGTGAGCCATCTTCAATATCCCAAATACCTAATTACAGAGAATATGGTTTACAAATAGTTAAGTACCTAGACATTTTTCACCATTCCAATACTCTTAGGTAATAATACAGCTTAAAGTTCAGAGTAAAGAATAACTGACCTATGCCCCACCCTTTCATAATGGTACCAACATAAGTGATATCAATGCAGAAATAATATTCAAAATCATAAGCCTGTCTATATCCATTCAGCAAAAACATGTGGACCATGTCTGTTGAATAAATCATCTATATATCTTTTTAACATGCAAATAATGAAATATGCACATCTGGGGCAGAAATGCAAACTCTCAGCAGATGTTAAACTGGAACTAACTCCCTGATTTTTAATAACTAATTAAAATTAAAGCCACTTCAACAATTAAATAAATCTATCTCCACAAAGGGAATATTTATCCACCCTTTATATGTCCCACTTATTTTCATTCATGTTTGTTTTTAACAAAACACCTCTCCTTTTAGATTCAGCCTTACCTTTAATTTCTGATAATGAGGAAGGCTGCTGCAATGAGTATTCTTTGCAACGTCTTCATTTGTATAAAAGAGTGAACACAGCTTACAGTAAAACCCTGTTTTAGGTATCACATAGTCTATAC